TATCATCTTCCGAGTCATCTTCAGCATCACACTTAACAGGCAAAGTTGAATACCCCGAACTCGCCGCGGTCACCTACAATATAAAACTAAAAGGTCTGGGAATACTCCATCCTCTCAAAGGGAGCTCCTTTCTATGACCAATAGTTTACTTTGCACTACTAAGTTCTTAGCTGATAATTTTTCGAGAGCATGAGCGGCCAAGACAATTGAATGAAACCCTCTAGTGCGCCACGCAGTACGCCTATTTATAAACTACTAAGTGTGCAAACTCTTCACATTGAAATTGCAACATATGGATAAAATTGACGAGCACTCACCATGCTAGCCAGACTGCTAGGTGATTGCTCCTCAGCACTAGTGTAAAGTGACGATACCGTACTGCTGCTATCAGTAGCACATAGAGCTGTGAGGGGCTGGTCAGCATCCAGTAGCTGTGTGCCTCCCATACTACGATGACCAGAAGCCGACGACAAGAATGCCCAGTCCAGGTCCAACAGTACGGCTAACATCAGTGACATACAATGAGAGCTGTAGTAGAGGGTAGCCTACCCCGAGCCTCCGCATACGATGCTGTAAAGAAGCCTGTTACACTAGAATGCAAACCGTATAGGTAACTCTCGTCCGGCCCAAACAGGGACAGTGCCTGGCAGTAGTGTAGGAGGATATGCGGTATTGTAAACTGTTGATGACAATGAGAAAATTATTGCAATTTCATACTAATTTCCGCCCACTTCTAAGTAGCGTGACAATTTCACAACTCAGCTGAGGCAACTAGTCTATGTAGTTCAGTGTAGCAGTCGTCTACTATGAAAAGCACCCCAACCTCATATACCTCCTTTCTAGCCTCGTCCAGTCTCCTATAAAGCTCCGACTCCCTACGAGGCTCCACGTAAACTATGAGTTCTTTGGTAGAGCCTCTACAATAACCCTCCTCAGTGGCCTCTTCTCCTTGTGCTGAGGCCTCTATTCCTTCCCTCTGGCCTCCACCCGTTCGCTGCCTAGTCACAGTAGGAGTAGCAGCGAGTATAGTAGCAGCCATTATCGAAATTCTGGTTTCCAGGCCCAAGGGCCGGATAAAAGACTCAAACTGAATAAGATATACATGTAGTTATGAAGGAGAGCATTTCACGCTGATCGCCCTTGATCAATGATATCAATTTAATATACATAGTTAACAGAGGATACATAAACACCAAGCGATTATAGGCACCAGTATATAGAGACTCGCGATACTCTCGCGAGGCCATGAACGCAGTACTATTAGGCCGTCCCGAAACCAACGTAAAACTCATCTTCGTCTAACCCACGAAGTAGCGCGCGCCTACATGATCGATTAGGTTGTTGTGTCGCCGGTGGCATGATGTCACACAAGTGTCATAGTCCAAGGACATCGAGTGTTCTGCAACCTACGCCGATCATCTTCATGGGAGTATCCGTATGGGGCTGGTTTGTTTACGCGTACAACCTGAATGATGAACGAAGCATGTGTAGACCTTTGGAAGTGACCTCAGGTTCACTTGCTTTCTTAGATCGCTTGACATTTCTGAAGCCGGTCTGAGGTAGACAGTTATTCATCGGATTTGCGCCTTTGGCCTCCCATATGGTCTAGCGCCTCAACGTGGCGTGGGAGTGATACTCATTCGGAGTATGCGAAGCTGGACCGCTTATACCGAACTCGACAATCACCCAACGGGGGATGACTGTCAGTCACTGACTGAGTGGCTATCTGATGACCGCTGCGATGACCAGACCACCGCTGCGGCAGCGGTGGTCTGGTCTGACTAATCTGCGACGATCTCACCTATCACCATTTGTATACCATTACTTATACTGCCTCACACGATTTATTTTGTATAATTGGCACAGTTGTCTTCGATAATACCCAACATTACCGTTGCCATTTTGTTCTGCTACTTTCGCCCCTCTGTTAGAAATCCAGAGGACTCTCTCCCGCATATTCCCACACAGTACTCTATCATTCCGGAGGACTTCAAACTATGCAACAACTCTGTCTACTCGGTACGTTATTTTTTCTTTTCTATGGCTCAGGTTCCGACCTCCCTTCATCTCTACAGCGGTACAACCCGAGCTCGAAGACAAGTACTTCTTCATGCTCCTCTACTCGACTACGGAACTGCTTCACGTTTCACTCCTCCTTTCCCAAGCTAGCCACCTCCACCTGTGATCTCCCTCTGTGGGTACTGCCTACTCTTGCCGTGTGGGATTGGGAAACTCCCGTCCGCTGGTCCCGTTAGTTTTTATCGACCTTTCCTCTTTTATTTCTGTTATGACAGGGGATTTCACTGCTGCTCTTTACCACTTTAGCGTGCATTAGGCGTTGTAAGGGCGATACGCCAACAGGCGTGTAACGCCCCGGTAATAGGCGTTGCGTTGCGTTGCACCTTTGGCTCACCTAACAGCGTGATCAATTGTGGCGTCACGTCAGATTCTGTTCGTCGTGCTTCCAGCCCAGAAGTTCTAGGAACTTGGGTTTTTTGCATTCGTGGTACTGTTCTGACCTTGCGACCTTTGATAAGGACGTAAGCGTTGCTGGTGCTTTGCGAGTCCCGCCTTCGACTAGCGGAGCGACTCCTATATCTACAACTCCAGTTAGTACAACTCCTGCCCCATTAGATTGGCGCAATGTTCCGAAGAGTTTTCCGAAAGCCCCTCTCGGACTATCGGGTAACCCAATAGACATAGAGAGACACATAGGAGGAACCCAATTTGGGTTCCTCTATGTCACGTTTTCGTCCCTCCCAGAACATTTCTTTTGAGTCGGTACCACCTCTGACTACGAGGAGACCTCCCTCTGCCACACCGATAAGCAATCTATGTGTCACCTTTGGGATTCGCTATGACTATCAATATGCTCACTGATTCCCAAATATACCGAAGCT